ATTGCATGGATGAGGACTTTTCAGTCTCCGACTCATCCAAACCCGGCCCTTAATCAGAGAAGATCGGTTCTCCAAGCTCGAGAGATTATTCCTACATTAGATGAGGTCATTGCTGCGAAGATATAAGAGAAGAGTTGCATGAACCTATACTCTGAGTCGTGTGATTTTTTGGGTGCACCATCAGCATTGGTTATTGCGAGCACAGACACGCTAGGTGTCCAGGGGGAGACTCGCAAGTGCTACAATTATGGTGAAGTTGGCCATCTGAGCAGGACCTACCCTAAGCCACCTCAAGAGAGAAATAGATAGGCATGGAAAAGGTCGAGGTCGTGGTTGTGGTTGTGGTTGTGGGGGTCGGAAAGGTGGAAGAGGGGGCAACCAGACATTTGATGGTCGCAGAGGATGAGGGAAGACGTGTGATCTTTACTAGTGGAGATCATGAGTGTCTGGAGTTGTTGAACTGGAAGTAGAAAGGAGCATGAGATGGGGTTGAGGATCTTTCAAATCCATCGACATCGAGGGGTAACATTATCACTTATACTCACTTCAGTAAAGGTATTGGTAACACACTCTTGTCTTTGTTTCCACCACAGAATCATCAAAATAGATCATAGTGTCGCTTCTCGTCACGTGACAGTTACTACTGGAGAGTTCTCTTCATATACTCATATAGCAATATCAGAGAATATACAGACTGCTAATGGTACAATGTAACCTGTTGTTGGTAAGAGTATAGTGAGATGTACCAATCAAATGACTTTGTCCAATGTTTTGCATGCTCCTTTCTAGTAATATCAATTAGTGTCATTATTCTTCAGTTAAAATGCATTGTCTCTTTTGACGTTCCTCAGGGGATCTTCCAAGAGAAAGGGACGGGCCGGACACTTCGAACTGGAACGTGGCATAGCGGACTCTGGTACTTGGACCATGAGATAATGGACTCAGCTCTAGTATCCATGGTGGAAAGCGCTGCAGAGGAGAATCTGGGAGGAACATCGAGGATGTGTTGCTGCTACATCACAGACATATGGAACATTCCAGTCTTATTTTACTGAGTCAGTTGTATCCATCTATGCATGAAAAGGCAAATAAGGAGAAACCGGTATGTGATGCATGTGAGTTTGGCAAGCTCACTAGGAGCTTTTATGTTAATTCTAGGAATAGGAGCTAGCTATGGTGTGTTTGATTTGATACATTATGATATATGGAAACTTTGTCCTACTATTCAATCAATGATTATCAGTATTTTATTGCGTTTATTGATTGTTTTTATGGTGTTAAATGGATATACTTGATGAAAAAAAGAGTGAGGTAGTTGTTAGCTTTAAAGATTTTCACAAAGCAATCTAGACCCAATATGGTGCAGCTGTAAAGACACCGAGATCTAATAACGGGACAAAATATGTCAACAAACCATTTGGGAACTGCCTGTCAGCTTAAGGGATACAACATCAAATCATATGTCCATACATACCAACACAGAATGGAGTAGCAGAGAAGAAGAATCAACATCTTCAGAAGGTAGCCCAAAGCATGATGATGACAATGAATGGCCTACAACACTTATGGGTGCAAGCAGCATTGATCGTCGTTCAATTGATTAACAGGATGCACTTAAGAGTATTGGAGTTGAAGACTCATTATCAGATATTGAAAGGAGAAAATAGTGGGATCATTCCATTGAATGTATCGGGATGTGTATGCTTTATGAAAAATAACGGCATCTGTAGAGATATTGGATCCAAGAGCTGTGAAATGGTGTGTTCGTAGGTTAGTTTTCTACTTATAAGGGTTATGACTGCTAGAGCTCAATTGAAAAGACTCTTTGCGGGTATAAATATGTCATTCAGAGATTTTAAACAATACTACATTCTTGAGATAAATTCACCCTTTGGTGACTCAACAGACACAAGAGATATGAGGCAAGAGAATAAGTAATAATGGTGATGGAGTGGTGTAAGTGGGTGCAATGTAATGCCCTGCGATGTGGGATGAATCAACTAAGGAGACAGAAATCGAGGAGATTAACCCCAGAGGTGGTAGGATTCAGGCTGAAGGTGAGTTAAGGGTGTATACACGAAGGAAGAAGCAAACTAAGAAAACAGTTTGCAGTGCCAGCAAGTCTCTTGTCCTGATCTTCCCCAACTTTTGAGACACCTACATCATCCACCTTTGATTCAAAACTCTCAAGTAATATTATTCCTCTTCCATCCACTCCTACCCCCCAACTTTAAAAAGACCTCCCACAGCAATGCGAAGCATCCTCCTGATCATTTCAGGTGGGAACTTGATATTGCAAACTTTATTTCTTATTCTAACATTTCACCTTTGCATGGAACATTCATTGTATCATTAGACTTTGTCACTATACCCAAGTGTTGGCAGGTTGCTAAAGGGGATCTCAAGTGGAAAACAACAATGCATGTAGGGCTAGGAGTTCTTGATAAAAACCGAATATGAGAGATTATATCACTACCAGTAAGGAAAAAATAGTTGGATGCAAGTGGATCTTTACGAAAAAACAAACTCCAAAAGGGAATGTGAAGAGGTACAAAGCACAAAGCACGACTAGTGGCAAAATGGTAGAGTCAGATGTATGACATTGACTACAATAAAAATTTAGCACCAATCACAAAAATGAGCATGAGCGCGATGAGAACATTGGCTTCTCTAGTAGTGAATCGTGGATGGAGACTCCACCAAATGGATCTACAGAATGCTTTTCTTCATGGGGAGATAATGTAGGAGGTATATATGGAGATAACACTGGGATTCAATACATCCCAGACAATGGGCAAGGTGTGTAGCTCAGGAAGTCATTGTATAGCTTGAAGCAGTTATCGAACTTAGTTTAACAAGTTCAAAATAACAATGGTTGACATGAGATATCAGTAAATCAATGCAGACTACCAAATATTCTTTAGGCAACATGAAAGTCACACTACCATACTTGTTGTGGATGTGGATAACCTAATTATCATTGGTTATCACAACTCAAATATTGCTCAACTCAAGGAAAGATTGCTCAACTAGAAGAAAGATTGGGGAAGCAATTTAGGTAAAGAATCTGGGGCATCTTAGATATTTGGCATTGAAATTACCCATGGACCTGAGGGAATAATCCTATCCCAGGGAAAATATGTACTGGATCTTCCCATGAAGACAGGTATGTGGGGTTGCAACTGGAAGTCTCTTGAATTGATCAGAAGGTCAAGTTTAGTACAGAGGCAGGTGAATTGGTTGATCGTGAAGGATACCATAGGCTAGTGCGCCGCCTGATCTATCTATGCCACCTGGCCCGATATTTCTTTTACAATAAGTGTGATGAGCCGCTACATGTATGATCCAAGGAATGGGTCATATGGATGTATTGTATCAGATTTTGAGGAATCTGAAGAGTACAACGTGGAAAGAGTTAATATTCAAGGAGGGGCATGTAGATATTGAGGATTTTTGTGATTCGAAGAGGCAAGTTGTGTTGATGACAGATGATCCACATAGTATACTGCATATTTTTAGGTGGCAACTTAGTCTCGTGGAAGTAAGAAATGCCATTTGTAGCAATATTAGCGGTAGAGGCAGAATATAGGGCCATGAAATTAGAAGTTGCTAAGATGATGTAGCCGAAAGCCTTGTAGATCAGAGAACCCAAATGATGTTATGGTGTGACAAGAAGTCGGTAATCATCATTGCTAACAACCCAGTGCAACATGATAGAACCAAACATGTGCAGATTGATAGGTTCTTCATCAAGGAAAAGCTGAATAACAGACTACTGGAGCTATGTCATGTAGCTACTGAAGAGCAAGTGACTGACTGCCTCACCAAAATGACTAAGTTCATTAGATTTGTCTAGGTTATGTGGCAAAAAGGGCTTAGAGAATATCCTTTGCCAATCTTGAGGGAGAATGTTGAGATTTGTATCTAATGTAGAGTCCTATTTGTAAATAGATGAAGTCCAGGAATTTATTTGTAAATATTGTAACTTATAAAGCTTTATATAAGACTGTCATCGATGAAATCAACGAGGTTTTTTTAGTAATAATTTCTATTAAGGGTAATAAAGATAATAATATGCTCATCACTTATCAAATTAATATAAGTATCATGAATGCTAATTTTTTTGCAAACCATTTCCAAGGATACTAGATATACAATGAAACATGTCATTGAGCAATTTAGTCGTCTCTTTTGTAGTAAAAAGCGGATAAATAGCAATATGTGTCTCTTCCACTTCTCTATCTATTTAAATCACATTCAAATCACATTTAAGTAGCATTTCCCCCAAAATCAATAAATTGTTAATTTTAAACTTATATAAACATACAAAAAAAAACAAAAGAGAATACGATAAGGAGCTTAATGTTGCTACAGAAATTCAAAGACTTATCATTTGCTCTTTGTACAAATATTTCATCCTACAAGAATACCACCAATAAGCAAATTAATATAGTTGATTTTTCAAGAAATAATGCCAACAAATTACCCAAACAAAATAAAAATAATTGGCTGCAATCCTAATGTCTGAGCTATAGAATAATAGAAACATCCCCAAAAAGTGCATAGTTTCTCATAAAATCAAGTTGAACAAGCAAGTCAGCATTAATAATCAAAACATACACAAATCATGAAAATCCACCATTTTATTTTTAGCTTAACAAACCGCTATAAATTAAAGCAACATGCAAAAGGCTGGTAATTGCACAAAGGAAAAACAATAAACAAAACTTGACAATCATCAGCCATTATCTTACGCGGCTATTTGGCAATGGATTTAAGGCTAGATTTAAGCCGGATTTTAACTTAAATCCTCCCAAACGGCCAAAATGGCAACCTTAAATCCCGGATTTGGTAAGCCCGATTTACCTTCCTTTTCTCCTCAACAAACAGAAATGCGGGAAGAGGGAGAATCGCGAGAGAAACACACACCTCGCGAGGGGTTACAGTAAGAGCAAATGAAGAGATAATATAATTTCAGACAAAATCTGTCAATGCCTTACGCCTCGATCCTTCGACGACGTCTTTCCAGCAAGCTCCCGTCGCGATCTCCGTTGCTTCGTTCGGGAGCACGCAGCTTTCGGGATTGTTGCAGGAAGAAGAAAGACTTTCCGGCCAGCTCCCCTCGCGCTGTCCACAGTTACGAGGGTTTCCGCTCGTAACTGGGCGAAGAGAGAAGACTAAATAAAACAGCCATATGTTAGATATAAATAGTAATTTAAATTTTAAAACAGCCGTATATTCATATTAATTAATATTAGTTGATATATAATTTTAAATAAATTAGAATTATTTTTATTGATTACTAATTAATAATTTTTTAATATATTAAATTATACAAATTTATGAAAAGAGACATTGTGGATGAAGGAAAATATTTGAGTACGCAAGACGTACATATAAGGGAGTTATATCTATGTTATACCTCATTTAACATATATGTAACCTACTTGTAACATATCTGTAACATATAAATAAGTTTCGCGTTTTTGTAATTCCGGTAGTTACAGATAAGTTTAGGGAGGCTACAGGAGGTTATAACTCGGATATAACCCGCATGTACTCTCTGAATAACCTCCGAGATACGCAGCGTTTACGTACGCAAATATTTTCCGTAGTTGAAATACTTGCTTAACGTTTTTCAACCTAATTAAGTTCTTGTAAAGAACAAAACGGGCATTTACATGCATATCATGCAATTCTTACGTATTTAAATATCTAACACTTCATTTTTATGTTTTATATTTATATCATCTAAAGTTTTCATATCTTCCCAAAATATCACCAATTTAATTTAATTTGAAAAAATTAAAGGTGTAAAAAAAAAAAATACATAAAGATAATATGTAAAAATTGAAGGGCATTTACAAACACACCACCGGATTCTTATGTATTTACATATCTAACACCTAAATTTTATATTTTATTTTTATACCATACAAATTTTTCATGAAAACTTAAAATTCACATTTTTCATACATAAGAGGGCGAAAATATAAAAATTGAACTTTTGTGTTTAAATTTGCCAATATATATAAGATCAGGTCTTTATGTAAGTGAATATTGCAAAATTAAAATTTAGATGTTGCATATATAAATACATAGAAATTGAGTGATGTAAATGTAAACCTTCCTATAAGCAGGGAAAAAATTTGTGTACATAAGACGTACGTAGAGCTGCGTACATCTGTAACCTGAAAATAGGTTACAGGAAAGTATTTGGAGGTTATAACTGCATTATAGCCTCTGTAAACTCCCTGTAACCTACCTGTGCCTTCTAAGAAGTTCCGCGCTTCTGTTTTCATATATAGGTAAGTTACAGGGAGGTTACAGGGGCTATAACGCGGTTATAACCTCTGAATATCCTCCATGTAACCTATTTGCAGGTTACAGACGTACGCAGCTCTGCGTACGTCTTATGTACGCAGAGAGAGTAGATGAACTGTTACTTTTTCAACATCTCAGCCAAATCTAAACCGTTTCTAATAGACAAGAAGCCTAACAAACAACTTTCAGAAAGAGGGAAAAGATGCAAGCAGATCAGGACGCTTTAATTAACCTTAATACCATCTGTAGAGTCCAGTAGAGAGGAAAGAAAGGAGACTGACTAAAGAACTGGCATGTGTGGAACCGCAGAAAACGACGATTAGGGTTAAGAAGAAGAATGTTGAAATTCACTTGTCCAATGCGATATGAAATGAGGAGAAAGAAAATGGTAGATTGGGATGATTGCTGGGACAGATGGAGTATGGCTCCAGCTCTGTTGAAATAGGATTTAGGGCGGGCAGCTTATTGGGGTGCGGCGTTTTGAAAACAAAACGCCACCGCACCGTTTGGAAAAAGCGTTCGTCTGACGTTTAGGTACTGCACCTACGTCTGTGTTCCCGTTTTGCTAATAGACTTCAACGTGGGTACTCCCCCGCGTCCCGCGTTCGCGACCCACATTGCCCTAAGATATCCTCTCGTGCCCTTCTGTTCTCCCTCGCCCGTCCCCTCTTCGATCTCCCTTCTCATCCTTAAAACCTCACGGAGATCGACACCGCAACTCCTTCTAGGTTTTTCCTTCACGCTCGCTGCCCCTTCCTCCCTCATTCACCTCATATGAGGTATGTTAGGGTTTTTTTTTCTGAGGTGGAGTTATAATAGTGCGATTTCTCTGTTGGTTCTTTTCTAACGTGGAGTTAAAATGCACTTTTCTAGTCGATTTGCATGAAATATCTGAAATTTGTGTTGTCTGCATAAAATCCGTATATAAAAGTGATTTATGGGTTTTCTAATGGGTTTGTGATTCTCACTATGGAATATTGGTATGACTTTCTGCTCAGCATTCTTTACAGATGATCCATTGTAGATCATGCTTGAGTTTGTATTTTTTTTTTTTTTTGAGGAGCCGATCCATTTTAGATCGATCGATTGTGGCATTGATCCATTTTCATCTGCAGTTAAAATGTGAATAATGCAGTTAAAAAGTGGATTATGCAATTAAAATGTTTTTCCTCCATGAATTGCTTCCGCGTTGATGTTCTTAGCATGGTTGTGGCACCTTGTGCTCTGAAATTTTTTTTTCATGCTAGTAATGTGGCATCTCGAAATTACTGAATAGTCTCACATCATTTATGAAATACAAATTCACTGACATTTGAATGGTTCATTGTATTTGTGTTGTTTACAGCAAGAGTAGTGTTTGTAATTTTGGTGTTAATTGTTTACGACTCAGGGAGTGAATATTATAATACCTCTTAAAGAAGCATTCATCTGATATAAATGAAGGGGTTCAGGGGTTCAACATCTCAATATAGCTGTTTTGGCTTTCATATAGTTGTTTTCGAATGGTGTTATTGATAGGTTGTTGATATAAATGAAGGGGAACATTTGGCATCTCCATATAGCTGTTCTAAGGATTTCTTAGCATGGAAGAACATTTTGCTATTTTGTTATGTTTGAAATATTGCTTTAGCTTTCCTGGAATTGTCAGGCAATATCATTGATTGTTGTTTTAATAAATTGGGAGTACCATTGGTTGTTTGTTCGAAACTTACCTGGTGCAGTTTCATTCGATTTGCTATTAGCTGCAGCAGAAAGTTTCAATTAATAGGGATTTTTAGTTTATTTGATATCATTATTAGCTGCAATTTCAATAAATGGAAATTTGCTATTAGCTACAATTACATTCATCTGTTGGATTCATTTATCTGTTCATTCGTAACATTCATACGTGTTTCTAGCAGCTGGAGATGAATATATGCCTTGAAACTATTGGGCAGTAATTTGGCAAAATTTCTTTTTGGTACATCAAAAGGATGAAGTCTCTAATAGCTTCATGAATATGCTCGCCATTAGGTTTATGTTGAGCTACTTTTGTTTGTAAGTTGATTTTCGTATGAAAAGGGGAAGAAACATATGAAAAACCGATTGTATAGGGGTAGTTGAGAGAATGCTGTAGTTTTCTCCCTTGAGATTCATAGCCATGTAATCTTACACAATTGCATAATAAAACATATTTGACGTCTTACTGTGGATGTAGGTCTTTGACTGAACCACATAATTCTTTTGTGTCCTTATTTTTTATTTTTTCAGCAATATGAATTTACTTAGCAATTTAAAAACACTATGATAATATTGTGTGTATCGGGTAATTACTTAACCAAACAGGGGCAGAATGATCATTTATTCAATAACAGCTCCCAGTAAGCTGTTCTAAATAAGTTGCCTCAAATAGCAAGTCAGCTTATTCTGATAATCTGCAAATTATCAGATTATTAAAATAATCTGCTTATCAGCAGATTAGAAATAATCAACAGCTGCCCCAAACAGACCCTTAGTCATGTATGTAGTGTAAATCGAGGAAATATAAAAGGAATAAAAATTAAATCCAAGGCACCATTATCATTCCCATGTTTCGACTCTAAATATTATGTCTGGATTCTGCGTCCGGACAACGGTTGCAATCCACCGAAAGCAACGGAGAAGAAAAAAACGACATCCGGTGAATCGCAGTCGTTGTCCTAACGCACAGGTCCAGATGTAATATTTTTTTTCTTTTAATGGGTGTTTGGTAGCTCATTTTTAACAGAATTTACAATTTACATTATATTAAACGTAAATCCTGCCAAACGCAAAAAACAATAAGTTAAATTTAAAAATTAGTTGAATTCTTTTTTTTCTGTCCTCCCTAATGTAAATCCTGTTTTTTTAAAATCATATGGATAGTCAAATTTAAAAGATTTAAAGGAAAATGAGGAGGTTAAACATCAGGGAAATGATTTATCTAGATTTGATAAATCTAGATTTACATAATTTATTAAATTTTATTTAACTTGAATCTTTGATGCAGTCGAACACTCCACTAAGATGTAAATTTAAATTTAATAAATCAAATTTAACGCAAATCTATGTTGCATCGAAATACCTCCTTAAGGTTTAGTCAATAAAGTCGAGGTCTAGATCAAAGGAGAGGAAAGAATCTGAAACCAAAGAGGGTCTATGGGTCACAAGAATTAAGAATTATTTTCATTTTTCAAATTTAATGAAAATTTTAATTGAATTTAATTAAAATTTTTATTTTTTATATTTTAAATTTCATTAAAGATCCAATCAATTTAATGAAAAATGTTGCTTCATAGTATTTTGATATAACTTATATCTAATAATTTAGAAATTGTTGACATTATTTTAAATTTATGAACTAAAATTTATATTACACAAAATTTAAAATAATCTAATAATTTTTATAATCAGTTTAATATAATTTATATCAATAGATTTTGACATAAATTTTTTTCTAATACAGTCTGACTCGAAATTATTTTAAACTCATTGTAATTAATTTCAAATCAAGTCAAAGTTATAAATTAAATCAGAAAAAAATTAATTGGAGGCATATAAATGACTCATTAATTTCAATTTTATTGTAATGGAAAAGCTTATGTTCATTGTTAAAATGAGTTATGTTATTTAAAAAGTTTTATGTTCAAATTAATGAAATCAGGATTACTTTTGTATCCTAAACATTAGTTGCCACCATTTTATTTATCCAAGTTTTTTTCCTTTTATTTAATGATACTGCTAATTATTATACAAAATGTTAAATCATAATTTGTCTTAGGATCTGTTTGGGGCAGCTGCAGCTTATCCAGCTTATCCAGATAAACAGCTTATCCTGATAAGTAGTTATCCTGAT